GGGAGGGGGGCCGTTTTTTTTTTTCATTTTTTTTTTTTTTTTTTTCGACCGTCACAAAACTGCTCGTGTTTGTTTTGTTACAGTTTTGCTCGTGTCGCATCCGCCGAAACAAAATTAATAAATAAATGAAATAGCGAGACCCGAGCTCATTAAGTTTACATCCAAGACGTCACAGAGTCGCCAAAAATGCACAAATGATGTAAGCGAGATTGGAGACGCTTAACGCAAAAGAGACGCGTTGCTCTTACATAAAGTTTATAATTCGCGCCCAAGCGTACTACGGATTTCACATTGTATTGGTTATTTAGTCGCCCGCGGTTCTTCTTCTTCCTTTTCGTTCCTATTGAATTTGCGCGTTTGTATCTGTCTTTATCGTGCAGGTGCGAACCCTTGGGCGGCCAATATACGCAGTTGGTCGAGGCCGCAGTGGCATTATAAAATTGGAGTGACCCAGCCGTCGATTTTTGACAAACTGCTCGCCAACTCCGACTGTCACATATCCCGGCAGACGCGGCTTAAAATGAGTAGCGAAAAATGTCGCTCGACATGCCCGTACTCGCGCGTGAAACTGTCACCGACAGTGCTTCTACGCTGAATAATCACACAGGACATACGTACAAAGGCAGACGACAAACTGTCGCATCCTGAGATGTGGGAGGCAGAATCTTACCAGCGAGAGAGCCGATACCATCGCGCCGCTTCTCCATATCGCCATTAGTCCACAAATTTCTTATCTTTTGCTTTCAATGTTCTTTTTCCGTCCTTTTGTTCTTTAATTCACAAAATATGGGCGACACGAGCCAATAAGCGATCGCGGATAAGCTCTAGGTAGAAGCTCGGCCAGCTACGGCTTATCCCTTCTACCCGGCCTGGTTAATTCCGATCTCGTCGTCTCCTATGTACCACAGCCGTGTAGCGCAAGCTTTTCAAGGGCCTCTTAGGTCGTTGTTGGAGAACGAGGCGAGGTAAGGGAGGCGGGTTTCGGATAACGTCCAGGAGCGCTTACGGTATTACAGGGGTCCGGTATTGGAGGCGCTCCGGATTGGATTGTTGGGAAGCGAGCTCCCCTTGACTCCCGATAGGATCCTGGTTCTCGACTCGCGGCGTACTGGGGTCTGCGAAGCGAATGAGCTCGCGCTCGCGGTGACACTGCGCTCTTGAAACTGGAAACGCGCCGATAGTACGTGGCGCGGCTGCGCGAGCGCCCGCAGATAAGCGTCCGTCCTTGGAAGTGGCGTTGGCGTTGGCGTTGGCGTTGGCGTTGGCGTTAACCGTGGTGGCGGTGGTGGTGACGGCGGTGGTGACGGCGGTGGTGGCGGCGGAGGTGGCGGTGGTGGTGACGGCGGTGGTGGCGGCGATGGTGGCGGTGGTGGTGACAGTGGTAACGATGGTCACAGTGGTGACGCTGATCGTGGTGGTGGTGGTGGTGGTGTTTGTGGTGGTGGTGATGATGATGACAGCGGCGGCGGCGGTGGTGGTGGTGGTGGGGGTGGGGGGGGTGGTGGGGGTGGTGGTGGTGGGGGTGGTGGTGATGGTGGTGATAGTATCGTTATTATTGTTGTCTTTATTATTCTATGGTGGTGGTGGTGGTGGTGGTGGTGGTGGTGGTGGCGATGGTAGCGGTGGTAGCGGTGGAGATGACAATAACAACGACAGTGACGCGATAAAATCCGCCGGCGGGGATGAACTCGTGATCGACTCTACGATCGGAAGCCGAGAAAACCCTTTTCTCGATCTCTCGACCCCCCAACCCGGACGCGCACAAAGTATTTAGATCGGATTTCCTCTCTCTCTCTCTGTCTCTCTCTCTCTCTCTGTCTCTCTCTCTCCTCCTCCATGTCCTCTTCTTTCTTCTTTTGTCGGGAAGTAGACTTACTTTGGACTGCGACCGGTCGAGCGACTACGTGGCGCTTGGCCGTCGTTTTTACCTCTTGGCCTTTTCAGGCAGCGCATATTTTTATTAGACGAAGGTGCATTCCTGACAAAGAAGTCGTCCGACTCCGATCGGGTCTGCCTGCACCGACGCTTAATGTGCCTCTCGGACTACGATCCAATCAACCTGTCCCACGGAACAATTACAAAACACGTTCGGCTTGACCTCGATGTCGAGGCCCAGTTTATTGAGTTATTAGATTATCGGTGATAGATTAACTCGATGACTTGTGGAAAAGTGGAACGGTATAATTATGGTTTTCGACAGCTGCATCTGTCGTGGTTTATACTTAATTACGCGGAATAAAGAGTTCTTTTATCATTTAAAGTGTGTATACTTTGGGACGAGACACTACAGTGCCACATTTGGGATACGTTATCATAAAAAAATGCAACGACTTGAATGCATAGGGAAACACAGTTTTATCTTGTTCAATTGAAACGGCAATGAGAGCCGAAGAATTGCTTACGCGTATTAGTAGGCGAAATTGATTAAGCTAATATGATTATTTAAAGCCTATGAAGCTATTACGTTAATGGATAAATTAGTCATTCTAGGATTGGGAAAATTTGAATATAATAAAAGCTTCGTTAAGTTCTCGTCGCAACTGAGCCTTATTTATTTATATAAAAATTTTAAATGAGAAAAGTACATTCAATACCAATTAGTAAAAAAACTTTTTTAATAACCAATCCGTTACATTCAAATGTCTTAGCTTTTATCCAATAATATTTTTTAAATTTATAGATTTATTTTTACTACAATGTGTTGTTTGTTGGTATTAAAATTTACTATGATTATAATTTTTTCAATACTTTTTTAAGATCTATAAGATTATTCATTCTCATTAAATTGTTGGAAAAAACTTTTTCCAAAAACATATATAAGAACAACGGGCTTACGACGCCTCCGTTAACGTTCGTGATACAATATGATTAGAGCATGACGTCAAATACGACAGATTTCATACTTTAGCACGTACGAGTCATAATTTTTACACTAAGAATTGTTATAGTCCTAATGAATAAGCATTCTATCACTTATTTGAAGTTATTAGAATAATAAATTCTGTCGATTCTTCGAGAACCAAGTTCATTCGATTCGATTATCGACCGACATTTTACGAATGTCACCAATGCTCTCATTATTATTATATAAATTATATAATAAATTACATAGTGAGATCTGTAGTGCGATCAATCTATCTAGATTGCTTTAAAAATTTTATTATACATTTTTTATAGATTTTTTTCCGCACTCGTATCGAAAGAGGTTAATACGCTGGCTACTTTCTTTCCTAAAGGTTTCTAACAAATCATTGCATTTGCGTCATTCGTAGGTAATAATTAACGTCGAAACTAAGGATATGCATAGTCAAATTACAAATAAGACGTATTAATAAATGGAAAGAAAAAAAAAAAGCAAAGCAGTATAAAAGGTATCTGTTTTTCGATTGAAATTACCTAAATAGAAATCGGAACGCATTGCCGGCCAACCGATGCAAATGCGATTTGATGTAATAGTATATTACATCTATGAATTATGCTTTTCTTCAAACATTCATTATCAAGCGCAATTCGAAATTCCAGCCAATAAAATGTCCACACGATTGATTTATGCAATTTCAATGTTTGAATGAGAAAAAATTATTATTTTACCTGAGACGTAACATTTGCGAATTTTTTTTTTTTTTTTTTTGTTTTTTTTTTTTTTTTTTTTTTTTAATTATTTGCCACCTAATGTTGGTATATCGACGCGAAGAAATCGCCGTAAAACCATCAGCCATTATTATTAGTAAATTA